TGTTCTAAACTTCTGGTAGTAAAGTAATGTCAGCTCAAGGGGATGTTTTTATAACAGTATTCTAATTACTATGCAAGTAGATTTCCCTTTTTAGCATCATAACGTGACTTATTTTCCCTCCACTTTCACAGGTTTAATTCTAAAGATACCTATCTGGGGACAGCCACTTGACCAGAACTGCTATGATGATTCTGTTTATTGGGAGGTACTGTACAGTATTCTAAACAAGAATGTAAATGATGACTTCACCAGTGAAAGTTTTGCTCACCTGAAGCACAGATGTCTGTGCGGCCTATGTGTTGTGAAATTGGATGAACTTCCTATTTATAGGGAGAAATTGAGATGATGAGTCCAGCCAGATAAGATCAGAAGTTATGGTATTTTCCAAAGCAGAAACTAGGTGAAGACAAGACAAAATTTAGTTGACAAATGTCTTTTCACTCCTCTGAGAGCAATAAAAAAGCTACTTTTAAAAAATAATAAGAATCTTGGGCAATAGTATGAGATTTTATACCATGTGCAAAAGTAGGCTTAAGCAAGTAAAATATGTAAAGTTGAAAAATTTAGGTGAGTATACATTAAGAAATCCTATGAAGAACAAAACATCAGCCTCTTTCTATCCTCTGGTTTCTACCTCTTTACTCTATTAATATTTTCTCTCAAGTTATTTTCTGCAAAGCCTGAGAGGGATAGATGCTTGGGGGTCTTCTACAGGATTTTCAGGGAAAATGGGTTTGAAAAAGAGGAAATGAAGTCAGGATGGGGAGATAATTATTTTTTCTCTTTTATTTTTCCCCAATTAAAATGATTTTTATTCCCAGTTCTTTCTGAGCTTGGATAACAATAACAGAAAATACCTTTGTTTCAATATCAACTTCTGACAAGTGAAAGGAACTATTAAGTGCCCCAATCTTGTTTTCTTTAAAGGTTCCTAGATGGAGAGAGCATGACCATCACTTCCATGAACACGGTGACCACAACCAGCTGGAACCTGAAGTCTAAATGCCTTTCCTGTGCCAGAGCTTCCTTTCCCATTATCTAGAAAAAATTTAATTAAACAAAAAAGACAGCATCCAAAGAGAATATGGACCAGAGTAGATAAAACCTAGGCTCCAAACAGCCAGTGTAAACATGTTCTTATGTCTGCGGCTAAATCTTGATATTCAATGATTGTTTAATGGAANAGTGTAAACATGTTCTTATGTCTGCGGCTAAATCTTGATATTCAATGATTGTTTAATGGAAAGGATGTGATTCATAAAACAGAAGGTCAAATGGATTCTATCCAGGACTCCCAGAATGCTCTTGCCAGTGGATAGGTGCAGAGTGAACATTTGATGTATATTCTTGTACTTTTCCCAGTAGAGGTAGATTTGTGTAGAAATCAACACTTTCTAATCATGTCAGTTTCTTAATAGAGACTCCATGTTTTAATTCCTAATATTAAAAAACTGAAGCCAATGAAATAACAATATATGTAAAAAGTCTACATAAGAAAAATAAAAGAAATGTATATAAAGCAGTAATATGATTATTTCTGGTAGTGCTTTTTTGATTTTAAAAATGATCTCGTTAGTAACATTACATTTTTGCTTGAATATTCTTATTCTTAGTTCCTTTTGTATGTTTACTATGTACAAGAGCTCAAATGCTATTTGATTAAAGTCTATTTTGTACAAAATTTCAAAGAATTAAATGTTACTATAAAAGAAACCATTAGTCTTTGGCTCTTTCTTCTGTGGTTGGAATTCATTTTAATAACATGCACACACACACATATTTCTTATGTTTAGTTCACACTCAGTCCAAATATTTTATATTACTTATGTATTTGCTATAAAAATCAAATTGATGTATTATGTTATAGAATAAGTTATAAAGAATTGAGTTTTAGAAGGTAACTGACAATAGTCACATAAAACCACTTTTTTTTTTTTTCCGTGTCTGGCAACGGACCGCAACCCTCAGTGTCGCGCCCGTACCGGACCGGGAC